CGGTGGAGTGAAATTACCCGAAAATATGTTTTCGGGCCGAACAGTCTGGTGCATGACCTGAAATCGGGAGTCCGATTTTCTGATGTAAATGCAGTCTTGAATGGAAATATTTATCCTCTTATTACTGGCCAAATCCATTGTAGACAAAGTAGTACTTTCATTTAACCAGGTTCTTGCTGTTTTATTCCTTAAACATTTGTGTACAAAAGAAGGAAAAAATGAGATTTTTATTTTTTCTTTTTATTGATGCAAGTCTGGCACCCCAAAAGCAAAGAAAATAAGAAGAGAATAAATATGAAAAAAAAAAAACGAAAATAATTTCGGTCCCACTAAATTGGGAAACATTATCAATGCCACAAACACAAAAAGGAAAAAAAAAAAAAATCTAAAGTGAAATCGATCATAGAATTTTATTTTATACACTCAAAATAATCAACCAAACCACACCGAAATGTACATTTATGTTGGATTTTCGATTTTACTTCAAATTTTCTATTCAAATTTATTTAATTTAGTATAGTTCAGTGCAAAATCGCACCAAAGCAAGAAAATTAGAAACCGGATTTATTAAAAAAATAAATAAATTGAACTGCAGTGTAGAAAAAAAATAAATAAAAAGGTTTCCAAACTAAAAAGCAAATCAAGTGAGAGATTTTACGATCTTGTTACGTACGTCGAGTTTGTAATCGTTATAAATCATGACGGACTGATTAGGTAACGGTAGCATTACCCTCAAACTATATAGTTGGGCTCGGTTTTTCGGTTTTGGTTCGATTTTGTGTATAAAATGGAAGTTATTCAACAACCACAAATTGAGGACTACACACAGCGCGCACACACACAGAGATAGAGACAGATAGCGCACCAGCATTATTCCCTGAGATTCTGACTACACTTGATACACTTTTTATAGGAAAGAAGAAAGGGAAAATGGCGGAGGGTTTATCTCCATAAGAAACGCACGCGAAGGGTCTGACTCGGTTCAGTAGGTTTCTTCTATCTGTATTCTGAATTCCATTGTCTGAATGTTTGTGTACCTCAATTGGTTTCATTCTTGAAAGTTTCGAAATATTGTTTGCTCGATATCATAATGTAATGGGAGCTCAAAAACTCAAGAGCGAGCTTGAAGGTTACTGTGTCTTTCTGAAAGATAAAATTTTTATGTGTGTGGTTATACTGGTGGATATGGTAAAGATTTATTTTTCTTCTTCTTCAGTCATTAGATTTGTTTTATGGTGTTCATACTTCACATTTTCTCTGTGATGTTTAACTTGTGGATATACCCTTCTGTCGATTTGGCGGATTCGAATATGAATCTTTCTGAACATATATGCTGTGCTTATTATATATGGGTTTACATTTCATTTCATTTGAATTGTCAATTGTGTGTTAATATTTTAGTTCCTTTAAAGATACCATATTTTAGTTGGTAATCCATCTCTAGATGCTGCAGTTGGTTGTAAAGACGCTATTAGAATGTGTCCTTTTTATTCTATGCTTTATCGCAAGTACTTTGCTTCTCATGTTACTTAAATGATATGATGATATTACATGTCAAAAATTCATTTTGTGGTCATATTCTCATCTGATTCATACTTTCAAGAGGCCCCAATGCACGGTTTTCCTAATCGATAGTTTGTGGTCCCTCAGGTTTTGATTTACGTATGCTTAAGTATAAAAACCTCTTTCTGAGACCGGGATTAGCTGGCGTTTTGGGCCTGTATCGGAGGGAACACCTATTTCCCTCCGGATTGCCTTTGAAAGCTTCATGCCTGCCTCCTTACCTGAATGCCTTTGGTCAAACTTCAATCAAGGGACTGCACTCGCAAGTACAAACAGGACGTAAAGGTGCAATGACAATCACTTACATTTGGTGTATATGAAAAGAAAATCCAAAAGTTTATCATTTGGTTTATATTCAGTCATGATTGGGTCGTTGCAAGTTTCTTAACATATTTGTCTTAAATATATTAGGTTTGGCAGCTGAGTTCGAGCATATGGAGAACAATAATACGATTGAAGAAGTACCAACAGATTCATACCTTCCATCTTCATATGATGCTGCAATGGAGGCACTTTCGTCTCTCATTTCTGGCAAAAAACGGGGAGATGGGTCAGCAGTAAGTGATAAGTACAGCAAATTGGAGAGAATGTCAATGTATGTTAAGGTAACTGGATAGGAACAGTTTTCTCTTATCTCTTGTGTCATGTAAGTTGTAACTGGATATGATACTATCTTTGTAGTTTTTATCTAGTGTGAAAGACAACCAAGTAGCCAATTTTGCCATTCTTGTTCAATTGTAGATTTACCCCATGTAAATTAGGGTTACACATGCGTAAAATTTCATTTTCGGCTGCTAGATTTCCTTAGATTGAGGGCTTTTTGCTAGCTTATAATCGGGCATAATATCTAACCGCCATTTCCAGAAGTTTACTACAGTTTGGACAGGCAGAGCATTTGCATAAGACCTTTAATTCTTGATATAGTTAACTTCAAACCGAGGTTATATGTTTTCTAGTTAAGTTTCACTATGTCCCTATTTTCTTTGTTGTGATGGAACGAGATAGGAAATTGCTCATTTTGTTTGGATATTTTTATTCTGGATGTGATGTTGTATATTTTCTCTAAGGCTTTACAAGATAGCCTTTTAGGGTTGTGTTTATAGAGTCTTAGAAATTGCTTAACGATACACATTTGTTGACTTTTCGACAAGTGAGAAATAATCGCATGTTGCCATGTCAGATTTTGGGTTTGGAAGAACATATTGCCGGGCTTAAAATTATTCATGTTGCTGGGACTAAAGGAAAGGTAACATTGGAATCACTTGTTGATATCTAAAATTTGTTCCGAGTTCTACTCCCTGTGTAAGATAATATCGGAATGTAAAAAAAGCCGATCAGTTTCTAGATTGAGGCTTAAGTATTCTTTGAAGTAAATAATTCAACCTTGTTTTATCTATTGAACCATCGGAACTGACATGTTTTTAATAAAAGTGATTTTATGGGTAAGGTTTAAACATTTTTGTTTCTTGTATCCTGATCCACTGTTGTTTCTTTTAGGCTCTTTTACCTTTTACATTTAACACTTCAGGGTTCAACATGCGCTTTTTGTGAGGCAATTCTGAGAGAATGTGGATTCAGGACTGGACTATTTACATCACCCCACTTAATTGACGTGAGAGAAAGATTTCGTCTAGATGGGTTAGCATTTTGATTCTTATATATGTGTATTCTTGCTACTGGCTACTAAAAGTTGCTACAGATCCACATAACTAACTATTGCTGTGGGTTTTTCATTTTTGTCTTTCTGCTTTGGTACAAGTTTTATGGAAAAAAGGGAGAAAATTATATTTTCTGTAATAGTTATAGTTGAATCATAAATGCACTAGGTGACCCCTGGACGACCTTCATCATTGTTTATATTCCCTGGTTACTTTCTTTGTCATTGTAGATGTTATGGATCTTTGGGAATCATAATCACTTATGTATCTTTGTTCTCTTGTAGGTTGGATATATCTGAAGAAAAGTTTCTCCATTATTTTTGGGAATGTTGGCATCAGCTGAAGGTATGTGAATACACTTAGTTCTCTTGTTATTTTTTCATACTTCTATTAAATTCTTTCTAGAATTTGGTGATGTGGATCTCGTTAAATTCCACTCCTCAAGTAAAAACATGTTGCTAGGATGTCTTTGACTATTGGTTCCTTCTAATAATCCTCTACATGGGATACATTGTTAGTGGTGACATTGATTTCCCACGCCAAGTAGAAAATTATTAATATTACCATATAAACGGGGATAAATGGTCGGGTATAATGTGCGGAAAGATGGTTGAATTTCACTTTTGAAATGAAATGGACCGAGCAAAAACTAAAAAAAACACCCCCTTGTTTTGTGTTTAAGATAGAAAAAAGGAACTTGTTATCAAAGTCATATACTATAAACACATGATATCCTATAATTATTAATATTCGAATTCTACTTTGGCTGTGTATTACATTCCTACTTAACAGTGTGTTTCTTGTAGGAGAATATCACTGATGATTTGCCTATGCCACCTCTTTTCCAGTTCCTCACTGTTATGGCCTTTAAGATTTTTGCTAGTGAAAAGGTAGGCTATTTGGTATCATCTTTCGTACTCCTCAATTTTGACGTTCGTTACATGCTAAATTTATCTTTTAATGAGATTTGTTTTCACAGGTTGATGTTGCTATAATTGAAGTTGGTCTTGGTGGGACCAGAGATTCAACAAATGTGGTAACTTTTATATCTATATTCAGATGTTTTATTCAACTTTGTGGGTTTGAAATGCCAGAGTTATACATTTAGTGACTTCTATTTAAGTACATAGTACCTTGATAATATTTTATGGCCATTATTGAACAGATCAAGAACCCTGTAGTTTGTGGTGTTAGCCCACTGGGAATGGATCATATGGAAACATTGGGTGCGTTCTTTATCTCATATTATTGCTGATGTGTTATTTCTAAACCTAATAAATGATCTTTCAGCTGTTTTTTTTTTT